AAAAATAATAGAAATAATTCCCAACAAGCCAAACTTATCTATACGATTATAGAAAGCCGTCACTTTTGGATCATATATCAACCTGCACGAATTTGCACACAAAAACATCCTGTGCTTAAAGAACAATGAGGATGACCAAACACTAGTAATAGCCGAAGAAGGCACAATAGCTATTCGAAAATGAAATAGGTCACAAAAATTCAATGACATCGCCGAATGGCTTCTTGCATTTAAATTGTACATGGATGCTATACTTATAATCTATGATACCAGAGAACAAGAATTAAATGCATACTGTGACCACATCAACTTACTCTGCATAAAACAAGAATTTTCTGCTGTAAAGGCATATTACGAAGACAGAAAATTGAATCTGACCATCAATCGTGATACAACTTTACTCGACCATGACTTGGAGGCAGAAGGCGAGAACTTTGACGTTACAACCACGAAAAAACACCGCACCAACAATCTCCAATACACGCCCAAAGCAGACGTATCTTGGTATAACGGTCAGCAAATATGCATAAATTGGAACAGAAAAGGATGTATCGAAGAACTCAACTGTCAGTAGATATACGCATGCCTAATTTGCAGAAAGTTAGGCCACCTAGAACATAGATGCTTCCACAACAGAGCATCCACGGTGAGACATCTGAATATTCAAGACCACAGCTCTAACAAATAATCGAACAATAGTCGAAAGTGACATCTATAACAACAAAGACAACAATGCCAACGACGAAAGCAGTTAAAAAAACCCCCCCCCCAAAAAAAAGGGGATAGAGTAAATACAGGCACATACATTTAAATACATATCTATATGAAAAAAAAAGGAAACAATAACAATATATATACACACATATATATAGATATACTGTAAGCTTAAACAGAAATAAATAAGAAAGATGAAAGGGAAAGTAAGCCATAGGTTAACATTAACCATAATACAAATCGGCATCGGCATAATATTAATATTTTTACCAAAAAAAAAAAAAACGACATATACCCACCTCACGACGGATCACACCAACGTCACTAAACATATATAAAAAAAAAAAAAAAAAAAGACCAAAATCAATACAACACAGTTGTATCATATAAATAAATAAAGCAACAAACAAAGAACTTAT